GGTGCACCTCAAAGTACTGGCTTTGATATACAAGTTTCTTTATGGTTCGGATCCTGTGTATCTGAGGTTAAAGCACAAAAAGAGATGGCTCGAGTATCCCAGTTGATCTCAGCTGTTAAAAGACCAACAACCACTTGCTTTGTACATATAGAGAAAATTTTCTAAACGGAATTTGCTTCCCTCCTCACCTGTCTCCATTGAGAGGGGAAGGTTGCAAGGCCTATCTATTTTCTCAGGCTTTTCTTGAAAGTGGTTTGAAAGGGTGGAAGACCAAAAGAATTTTTATAGAAGGGTTATTGTTCATTGATGTTGGTTCACTTGCTGAGTTTCAGTATATGGGGTAGTTATTTTACACATACCTAACTGTCACAATAGATTTTTTGTAAAAATGAAAAATTAAATGTTTTTTTTCCAGATGTTCAAATCTGGAGTGGAGATGCGTACATGTTTGTGTGATCAATGGCAATACGGGGGGAAATTTTCTGGTTCTAAACACTAGTCCATCAAACTCAAGCAGGCTGCAGTATACCAGGCCTTGGGGAGCTACGGGGGGAAAAACACACTGATTATGTTCTTATTTGTCCCTCTTCTACTCTGCAGCTACTTAAAATCATGTTGCAACTGATTTCAGTGATGGTGAGAGAGAAAGGTCAAGATTTAAAATAAAGTTTGGTTAAACCACGTATGGGAGCTTCTGGGTGCTTATCACTTTTGGAAAGTCAGGCCACATATTTGGGAGCCTAACTTTAGGCACTTATTTTTTTAAATTTCAGTCTTATTCTTCATACCATTTGAAAACTGGGATTTGCAAGCTTTTCAGAGAGTGTAAATAAATCAATACCTAGTTCTTATGCTAACTACTGATGGAAAATGCTATAAACAGCTTTACAAAAGTATCATTATCCCTATTTTACACTTAAGGCATTTAAAGCATTATTTTGCAGTCATTTGTTTTCTAGATATTAGACAGTAAAATCATGTTGGAATTCACATGGAAAAAATATGGTAATCACAACATGCATAGCTAACAAACAAAAAACTAATTCCTGTTTTCTCATGGCATACAGCACACCTTTTTTGCAATGATGAGTCATGAGATAATGAAACTTAACACTATCAGCTTGTTAATCTATCAGTGCTTCTCTTGGGCACTTGTCCAGTATCATATACGTCGGATTGGCAGGATTTGATTTAAATCATTAGTCATCATTAAATATCAATTTCACCTGACATAGAAATCAACAAAAAATATCTAAGACAGTCGGCAAGTGCCGCTTCCCCCACAGCTAACGCCTACAGGGATCTGTTGTCACCAGCCTGGTGACCATGCAGGGAGCACTCTGCAGCCCCACTGTCACCTCCCCGCTTACTCATTCACAGCCAGGTGTACAGGGGCCATCCCCAGGCAGAAGTCATTTCCTACGAAAGGAGACTCGAGGAGCTCGGTTTGTTTAGCCTAACCAAAAGAAGGCTGAGGGGGGATATGATTGCTCTCTTTAAATACATCAAAGGGATAAATACCAGGGAGGGAGAGGAATTATTTCAGCTCAGTACTAATGTGGACACGAGAACGAATGGATATAAACTGGCCGTGGGGAAGTTTAGGCTTGAAATTAGACGAAGGTTTCTAACCGTCAGAGGGGTGAAATTTTGGAACAGCCTTCCGAGGGAAACGGTGGGGGCGAAAGACCTCTCTGGCTTCAAGATTAGGCTAGATAAGTTTATGGAGGGAATGGTTTAATGGGATAACGTGATTTTAGTCAATTAGGTAATAAAGTGCCATCGCTGGTAAAATGTGGGTCTGGCTAGAGAATCTTGCCTGTATGCTCGGGGTTCTACTGATCGCCATATTTGGGGTTGGGAAGGAATTTTCCTCCAGGGTAGATTGGCAGAGGCCCTGGAGGTTTTTCGCCTTCCTCCGCAGCATTGGGCAGGGGTCGCAAGCTGGAGGATTCTCTGCGACTTGAAGTCTTTAAATCACGATCTGGAGACTTCAACAGCTGAGTTAAGGGAAAGTGGGTGGGTCAGCTTTTGTGGCCTGCATCATGCGGGAGGTCAGACTAGATGACCATAATGGTCCCTTCTGACCTTTAAGTCTATGAGTCTATCAGTAGGGTGGCCTTGCGAAGGGCTGGGAGTTCACCCTCCTCCTCATGGAGTCTGGACCACAGCCTCCCCTGAACGTTGTGGCCAGGTGTCAGGCCCATTGGCCATGCGGGGAGCCCCCTGAAGTCCCGCTGTCAGCACTACCCTAACACTAACCCCCCTTAATGTCCTGCAACTGTGAAAATTAAATGATTAACAATAGAAAATGCTTAAAAATAAATATTAAACATTAAAAAAAAATTTTTTTAATCAAATTTTGCCAAGCCTGTGTATATAGCAAGTCCCAGATTGGTGAAATTTTCTATCCTTAACACCATTTTCAGATTCTTTCCAAATATTGAGACATATAAGAAAATAAAACAGTTAATTCAAAATCTTGGGTGTATATATTTTCTTAATTCACCACTACTGAAGAGTACCAGATTGACAGCATTTGCGACAGAACGTCTCAATCCAGATAGCTGGTAGGTCATAGGCAACAGGAGTTCAAGTTTCTGCAAACTGTCCCATCAATGTTAGTTCAAACCTGCTTTGGAGGGCCATCTTTAAATAATTTAGGTCTTCAGCACTTAACTCTGTTAAACCTTTCAGTTAGCAAAACCGGTACTGGTCTGTGTCATGCAGACACTTACGCTTGGGGAGTGGGCTGAAGCCATCATTAAGGCCAAGTCTACACTACAGATCTATCTCAGTATAACTACATCGCTCAGGAGTGTGAAAAATCCACAGCTCTGAGCGACAGAGTTATACAGACCTAGCCCCCCCACAGACAGTGCTATGTCGATGAGAGAGCTTCTCTCATTGACATAACTACCATCTCTCTGGGAGGTGGATTTACACTACACCAGCGCAGCTGCACCAATGCAACATTTTACATGTAGATCTGCCCTTAGTTTCATGCAAGTCAGACATTAGATCAGACCTTGCAGTCACTACCAGCCCAGACCAACTTCAAACCAACAATCCAACAACATTTTGTTTTAAATTAAGTTGGTTTTGGTACAAAGAACAAGCAATTCCTCTTCATCCCCATGAATTTTAACGCTGATCAAAGGGGTTTTACTGACAGCAACAGAAATCAGAGTCCATCAAACAAACAGAACACATGTAGCATCAGTGCAAAGGTCCCTCAAAATAACCTGCTAAAGCATCTGCTCTGGAGGAGCCTTTTCTAGGGCAGGAATAATAGGCTGAAACAATTTCAGGAAGGGGGTGGTGGGTGAGTGGAGATCACCTCTCTTTGATGCACCCAGCTCTTATTAACTTCAAAGGAAACTAGATGTTCATCTCAATGGGAGAAATTAAACACTGCATTTCTGGATTGATAATTTCTACGCTAATTTCACTGACTGATAAAGATGTGGACCCCAGTCCTGCCAACACTCAAGTATGTGCATAACTTTATTCATGTGTTAAATAGTCTCAATGAAGTCAATGAGACCATACACAAATAGTTACCCATACGCTCAGGAAAGGGAAGGAAGGCTTAAAACAAGATTTATATATCCCTGAAGACCGAGAGGGCAGGGGGGGAAAGTTTAGTGGAAAAGGTAGCACATTTCCATATGTCACAGATACTAGCCATCACTATAGTATAAACGTAAAAATAGTCCAATTGTCATCTTACAAAGTGATCAAAGGGTAACATGTCACTAAAAGAGTTAGTGGTGAAAAAGTAGCACTGCTACTGATAGGGGTAAACTAGCTGTTTTAAAATAAACTAATTTTTGCAATTTAGTAGTTTGGACATTTTAAATTTATCAATATTACATTAAAATAATGGAAGCTCCTTACTAATTGATACAATGTCACCAATACATTTTTTCCATAATTGACTGAAACAAAACAAGTTTTAAAACAACTGTTCAGAAGAAAGAAGTATATGTGGAAAGAATTTAATGAAATACCAGTTTATACAAAAAATATCAGTTTCCCTACTTGTGGGCTCTTAAAATGGCACAGATCTCACTCAATATGGCCTCTGAAGACAAAACATCATTTCTGGTTATTCTTCTTTTCCCCCTCCCCCCAAACACATAAGGGTAGCTACTCAGTGCTCTGTTTCCTGGCAGGAAATCCTTGCCCCATCTTTTAACTCTGTGTCTAAAGTAAAACCAGAGAAAAAAACAATGTCAAGTTAGTTGGATCTTTTTAGATTTACATTTCCCAAATGCCAGGCTCTCAGTTTCCAGGCACACAGAGAAACCACTGGCCAACTTACCCTGAATGTTCCCTACAACTCTGATAGGCACCCAAAACAGCAGCAAGCTGACTGGGGGGGGGGGGAGAGAGAGAGAGAGACACACACACACACACACACACACACAGACATGTGTAGATATATTTTAAACAAAGCATTCAATGTGTGTCACATCAGCTCTGCAAATCCACAGTGGGGGCTGAACCCCTTTGAGGGCAGGAACCGACTTCCCATCTGTGCTGTAAAAGGCTACATACCTTTATAACTGGGGCTGGGGACTATATTCTCTCTCATACTTCAGACTGTCCCCGCAACCCAAATAGTGTCTTCTGTCCCCACCCCAGAATGACATGAGTACAGCCCCACCTCCCCTAAACCAAGAGCCCCTGGAACTACTACCACCCCCACTCTTCCTCCAAGGGCAAAGGAAATCTCTTTCTCCCGGCCCCCAGCTTTATAGAACCAGCCTCCTTGGCCTCCTCCAAAAGGGAACAACTCGGAAATGGAGACCGGCCGAAGCCTGAGGCCTAGAGATGGAGGCAGGGACACAGGCTAGAGCCCGCTGCAATGACCCCCTGTCACCTGAAAGCCCTGAGTAAGGCAGGGCCAGCCCCCGACCTCCACTGGGCCAGGCCGGAGAGAGACCACCTCCGCCCCATTGTTCCCCGCACCGAAGCCCAGGACCCGCACTCACCGCACGGCTAGGCTCCCAGCAGCAGCAGCTTTTCTCAGCTCCGGGACACGGGGCTGGCCGCAGCACCCACCGCCTCCAGCACCGGCAGCAGAGGCCGCCTGGCCGCCGCCACCTCCTCCCCACGACCGGCTGCTACTGCTGCCTCTGCAGCAGGGGCCATCTTGTGTGTCTGCCGCCTCCCCCCAGGACTGCTCCTCCCTCCCCCGGCCTGCCTGGAGCTTCTTCCCCTTTCTTCCGCCTCCCCTTCCTGCCGCGGGAGGCCAGGCACCGCCAAGGGGGAGGAGGAAAGCAGAGTCCCTAGCGGGGGCTACACTGCTCCCCGGCTAGGGACAAATGTTGCTAACCACCCCCTCGCTTAGCCGCCCCTTCTGGAGCAAGCTTGGCTGTAGCCTTTCACACCCACCCTGGCTGTTCCCCAAACAGCAACCAGGCCCTAGCCCTTTCTGGGAAGGAGACACGCAGGTGAAACCGCCTGGCTACTCCCCCTCCTTCTCTAACACCAACACCCCCACACACGTATTTCCGAAGGGGGAGGGAGATTAATAGGTGCCCTTCCCCCAACGCTTTCTTTCTCCCTCCTCTCCCAAACGTCACCCACGCTTTTGGGCAGGGGATGGAGAAAGATTAATGACTCCCCACCCCTTATACTCAAAGGGAACCTTCCATAAGTGGAGGCTTCAGCAGTTAGTGTTGTTAGGCCTATGCATGCCAAGTGTCCCAGCTTGGGAGTAGGATGACCAGATGCCCCGATTTTATAGGGACAGTCCCGATATTCGGGGCTTTGTCTAATATAGGTGCCTATTACCCCCCACTCCCTGTCCCGATTTTTCACACTTGCTATCTAGTCACCCTACTTGGGAGAAGTGAGTCCTTGGTTCCCTTAGCAGAAGGGCTATGCTGTGACACCTTTTTATACAGCTGTTAAAATAATTTAGAACAAAGGTAAGATATTTCAGGGTCCCCCTAAAGCAGGGGTAGGCAACCTATGGCTTCGGCACGCGAGCTGATTTTCAGTGGCACTGGGCTCTGCATTTTAATTTAATTTTAAATGAAGCTTCTTCAACATTTTAAAAACCTTATTTACTTTACATACAACAATAGTTTAGTTATATATTATAGACTTATAGAAAGAGACCTAAAAACGTTAAAATGTATTACTGGCACGCGAAACCTTAAATTAGAGTGAATAAATGAATACTCGGCACACCACTTCTGAAAGGTTGCCGACCCCTGCCCTAAAGGATTAATTTGTCACATAATACCTAGCACTGCAAGCCTGTTTCTTTGGGGATTTTAAAGTACTTTCCAAGCACTGATGAAGCCTCACTGCATTAATTAGTTAGCAAATGTCCAAAGTTTAGAAGATTTAAACTGCTTTGTGAGAGCTAAATATTATTATTAACCACACCTCTGTTTTACAGATGCATAAACTGAGACATATAGGTTGTGACTTGTTCAAGGACATACTGGCAATAGAAACCAACAGTCCTTACTGCCCAGTCGTGTGCTATAAATACTAAACAAATCTGGACTTCAGTTCTGCAACTGGCTCTGTGTGATCAGACCCCAGTGCCCACATGGAGTTCCACTGACTTCAATAGGGTCTTCAGACCCATTTTCAGGATCAGGGCCTTATACTATTTTATTTCACTCTATCCTTTCAGAAAGTTAATTGAATCACACTGTATTTTAAAAGTGGGTTTAAAACACATCTTTATCCCTCCTTGTCTACAAATTCCTTTCTTACATAGGTGCTTCAGAACTATATTATTATTTATATTATACCACTCATGGACCAGGACCCCAGTGTGCTAGGCACTGTATAAACAGAACAAAAAGCTACTCTTTGCCCCAAACAGCTTACAATTTAAGTATAAGGCCTGGTCTACACTAGGAGGTTATGTCGAATTTAGCAGCGTTAAATCGAATTAACCCTGCACCCATCCACACAACGAAGCTATTTAGTTCGACATAGAGGTCTCTTTAATTCGATTTCTGTACTCCTCCCCCACGAGGGGAGTAGCGCTAAATTCGACATGGCCATGTCGAATTAGGGTAGGTGTGGATGGAATTCGACGCTAATAGCTCCTGGAGCTATCCCACAGTGCACCACTCTGTTGACGCTCTGGACAGCAGTCCGAGCTCGGATGCTCTGACCAGCCACACAGGAAAAGCCCCGGGAAAATTTGAATTCCTTTTCCTGTCTGGCCAGTTTGAATCTCATTTCCTGTTTGGACATCGTGGCGAGCTCAGCAGCACTGGCAACGATGCAGAGCTCTCCAGCAGAGGTGACCATGCAATCTCAGAATAGAAAGAGGGCCCCAGCATGGACTGATCGGGAAGTCTTGGATCTGATCAGTGTGTGTGGGGCGATGAGTCCGTGCTTTCGGAGCTGCGCTCCAAGAAACGGAATGCGAAGATCTACGAGAAGATCTCAAAAGCCATGACAGAGAGAGGATACAGCCGGGATGCAACGCAGTGCCGCGTGAAAATCAAGGACCTGAGACAAGGCTACCAGAAGACCAAAGCGGCAAACGGACGCTCCGGATCCCATCCCCAGACATGCCGTTTCTATGAGGCACTGCATTCCATTCTAGGTGCGGCCGCCACCACTACCCCACCACTGACCGTGGACTCTGAGGATGGGATATTGTCGACGGCCGCTTCCTCGGAGATGTTAGCGGACGGGGAAGATGAGGAAGGAGAGGAGGAGGACGAGGCAGTCGACAGCGCTTACAACGCTGATTTCCCCGACAGCCAGGATCTCTTCATCACCCTGATGGAGATCCGCTACCAACCCTCTCCAGGCATTAACCCAGACCCTGAATCAGGGGAAGGATCAGTCGGTAAGTGTTTTAAACATGTAAACATTTATTTTGAACAGAACAGGAATATTAACAATGGGTTTTTCATGATTAGTTTGCCCTAGGCGCTTAACGTTTTAGTCCTTGGCAGTGCAACTACTGCAAAAGAATCTAACAATGTCCGGTTTATCATGATTAGTTTGCCCTAGGCGCTCTACTTTTTAGTCCTTGCCAGTGCAGCGACTGGAAAATAAGGTCTATATGTCCGGGGATAGAGCTGAACTCCTCATGGGACATCTCCAGGAAGCTCTCCTGGAGGTAATTGGAAAACCTTTGCATGAGGTTCCTGGGGAGAGCGGCCTTATTGCGTCCTCCGTGGTAGGAAACTTTTCCGCGCCAGGCTATCATCAAGTACTCTGGGATCATTGCCTCGCAGAGCATGGCGGCATACGGCCCTGGTTTTTGCTGGCTTTCACGCAGCATGCGGTCTTTCTCTGTGTCAGAAATCCTCATCAGAGTGATGTCGCTCATGGTGACCTGCTTTGAATTAGGGGAATGTTAGTATTGGGACTGCTTGCCTGTTCCTTTACATAACTGTAACCGGCGGTTTACAGCCACGCGGTGGAGGCGGGAGAGGGGCAGCATACAGGGATCTTTCCCGGGGACAGCCGCGAGGGGGTGGGACAGGGGCAGAGTTCATGCTTGCCGGATTGCCGGCAGCAGGAACTGGCCAACGCTAGGAGCATTGCTTTGAACGTGAAAGGAGGGCACTGCTATAAATTAAGTTTTAAGCAGCCAAAAGTCTACAGCTTACCATGTCAGCCTGCTACCCGAATTCCGCTGTCCTGCCCCGCTTGTCTGATCTCCACTGCAAGACCCCAGGCACTGAATGCGAAGGCCGAAAATTCGACCTTATCCTGAGTGCGCATGTGATAGGTGCTGTGCATGGTCTTCTTCACAGAGAAAGACTATGTTCATTGTTCACAAAAATGTATCTTTGTGAGGAATTCACTCCCTTTTTCCCATCCCACAGCTGCGAATGTCTCCCGACCTACCCCGGCATCCCCCTCCCAGAGGCTGGCGCAGATTAGGCGGAGAAAGAAAAGGACACGGGACAACATGTTCTCAGAACTTATGGGCTGCTCCCGAGCCGAGGCGGCCCAGCAGACCCAGTGGAGGGAGAACATGTCGCAATACCAGCGAGCACACAGCGAACTGGAGGAGAGGTGGTGGCAGGAAGACCAGCAGGCGACTCAAACACTGCTTGCATTAATGAGGGAGCAAACGGACACGCTCCGGCGCCTTGTGGATGTTCTGCTGGACCGGAGGCAGGAGGACAGAGTCCCGCTGCAGTCTATCTCTAACCGCCCTCCCCCCCCACAAAGTCCCATACCCCCCTCACCCAAAGTCCCAAGAAGGAGGGGCGGCAGGGGCCGTGAAAACTGTCACTCCACCCCTGCAGATTGCTCAAGTACCAGAAGGCGCTCATTTCCAAAAATTTGATAAGTCCTTTCCTTCCCGCCTCACCCAAGCCCCCGTCCCAGTTTCATCCCCTAACTGTTTAGTTGCTAATAAAAAATACGTTTCTGTTAATTACTGTTTCCGTCATGTTCTTTTAGAGGAGAGTGTGTGTCAAGGCTGTATCCCCACTTTGAACTTTAGAGTACAAATGTAGGGGCCTGCATGAGGACTCCTAAGCTTAACTACCAGCTTAGTTCTGGTCCGCTGCCACCATCCCAAAGCTAATTCCCTTCCCTGGGTAGCCTTGAGAGACCTTCACCAATTCCCTGGTGAATACAGATCCACACTCCTTGGATCTTAAAACAAGGAGAAATTGACCCTTCCCCCCTCCTTCCTTTCACCAACTCCTGGTGAATACAGATCCAAACCTCCTTGGATCTTAAAACAAAGAGAAATCAATCATGTTCTTAAAAAGAAAGCTTTTAATTAAAGAAAAAGGTAAAAATCATCTCTGTAAAATCAGTATGGAAAATAACTTTACAGGGTAATCAAACTTAAAGAGCTCAGAGGACCCCCCTCTGTCTTAGGTTCAAAGTACAGCAAACAAAGATAAACACTCTGGTAAAAGGTACATTTACAAATTGAGAAAACTAAGTAAATCTAAGACGCCTTGCCTGGCTTTTTACTTACAAGTTTGAAATAGGAGAGACTTGGTTAGAAAGATGGGGAGAACCTGGATTGATGTCTGGTCCCTCTCAGTCCCAAGAGCGAACAACCCCTTAAACAAAGGACACAAAACAAAAGCCTTTCCCCCCCCAAGATTTGAAAGTATCTTGTCCCCTTATTGGTCCTTAGGGTCAGGTGTCAGCCAGGTTACTCGAGC